AGCCCCACCTCCGGTCCTTCTCTGCCTGCAGCAGTGGCATCAGTGCAATACGGGCCTCGAAGTCCTCGATCTGCAAGCGCCTGTGAAACCCCAAAACCGACAGTCACGTCAGACCACGCTGGGGTGAGGGGTAGAAGACATGAGCTCAGACACTCCAGGTGATGTGTGGGGAAGGAGCGGGGGAGAAGCGAGCAGGTGGGGCAGGGCAGGGGTGGTGGGCTCTGCCCACAGACGCCCAAAATGAGGGTCGGGGGACGTGTAGCAAGCACATAGCACAAGCACCCTTTGGCCTACAAGACTTCTGGCTTCACACTTTCCTTTCAATGAAAACCCTCTTTTCATGTTAAAACTCACAGTGCCCTGATGACTGGTGAAGCCCCAGGGGTGGGGAGAGTTCATCACAGGGCTCTGGATGGTACAAAACCACACCCCTTCATCTCAGAATACCCGTGGGGTGTGAGCCCAGGGAAGGTGGGGCCTGTGCACTGTACGGGGCTCCCTTCTCCCTGCTCTGCAGTGTCTTCCAAGCCCCCAGCGCCATCTGCGCTCAGAGAGCAGCACCCAGGATGTGACCCAGGAAGAGGCTGACCTCCCTGTGCCCTCATCACCAGGAAGCTTGCAGCAGCGCAGAGAACGGTCTGGATGAATGCCAAGCCCCACCCCAGCCCCAGTTCCCAGGGTAGCATCTCCACCCCAGGCTGCTGCCCCTGCCCCAGCAGCACACTGTTGTCACTACTGTGTCCACCCCCTCTGCAGGTGGCACGTCCCAGGCCTCACCTGTCCAGTGTGGGGCCCCATTATCTGGCACCCCCAGAAGCTGCTCGAGTTCATGCAACAGTGCTGAGCACCCACCCCAGGTAGGGTCCTCTCCAGCACCACCCTCAGATACGCAGCCTCAAGCGTGAGCGAGCTCAAGGGTTGGAGGACCGTGTTAAGGACACGTGACACGAGACAGGACAGGGTGGAGGGGCCCACAGTCAGAGGTCAGTGAGGAGGAGCCACCTTCTATGGCAGCCGGCAAGCTTGCAGGTGGCTGGAATCCAAGCCTAGGCCACAGCAGGCGTCGGTCCCTCAGGTCCCATGTGACTGGCAGGGCCATCATCTTGGGTGGCCATTTTCTAAGCCCTGATAATCTGCACTGCCTGATCACCACTGACAAAAACCACCAGGGCAGACCACCCTGGGCTTGCCCCTCAGCCTCAGGTCCTAGGGCACAGGGCCCCCAGCCAGGGCCTACCTGCGCTCGCAGTTCCACTTCATCATGCTCCAGTACCCGAAGAGCAGGGCCCCAATGCCCACAGCAAACATGTTGTAGCGTGTGGGGAGACGGGGGCCAGTTCAGTGCCTGCACACGCCAGACAGGCCATCCCGTGCCGCGCCTGCCCGTGACGTCTGCCTGCTCACTGTGCAAATACTCCAGAAACATGGTCGGGGGTAGGAAGGGGAAAGCCAGGGTCCTGTCTATCATGTATTTTTTGTCTTTGTGGAGGGTCCAGAGCCCCTCCCACAGCCACCCCCTCCTCAGCAGGTGCAGACTACCCTCTGTCCCAGCCACCCGCTCTGCCCCCAGGCCAGGGCTTCCAGAAGGTAGGGGCTGCAGAACCGGGTGGGGTCTGCAGGAAGGCCCGAGAGTCTAGATGCTTATGGTTGGGTGGTTCTAGCCCCACCAACCTTCTAGAAGGTCATTTGGTTTCCAGGCAGCACGTGGGTCCTCATGAGTTGGGATGTTGTCTGCAGCTGGGTCCCAGCTCCATGGTGGCTGCCTGGGCCACCTCCCTGCATGCAGCCCACAGGGGGCTGGATAGGGCTTCCAGAGGCATCAGTCCCCTCCAGGGGCCACTCAGCACCCCTGGGCTCCCAGGGTGCGGCTGCCTCCCGGCCCAGTGGGGTCAAGCCCCCTGCCTGGACACAGGGAACAGAAGCAGTCATGAATATATACTGACCAGCGGACACCTGCACTGCAATGCTGACTGCTGGGCCACAGGCACTGGGGTCTTCAGGGAGGCTCAGCTGCCTGGGGTCTGACTCACCCAGAGCTCCCTAACTTTTGCATTTTGCTCTCCTTTGGATGGGCCTTGTGGTTGCAGGGACAAACTGCCGAGTTCGGCCAGGCTGAGCTCCAGGTATCACCCAGTAAATGACCAGCAAATGGTGGGTCAAGCAGAGGCCACTCCCTGGGCCTAGTCGGGGGCAGAGCTGGTGCTCTGGGAGTCTGGAGGGGGTGCCTGCACTGTCCCCATCCCCATCTTTCACCTTCCGCTTGCCTCAGGTCCACGGCTCATCTGGACCCTGATAGCCCCAAAGATGAGTGAGAAACTGGCTCGATTTTTTAATCCTTAGTTAAACCCTCTAAAAACATGAGTTCAGGGTAGGACACTTCCTTGTTAAGAGAGGCAGGGTAGCAAGGGCGCTGTGGTTCCTGGGCTCAGAGGCAGCGCCTCTCCAAGGAGCCTGAATGCCAGGACCAGCTCCCAGGGCCCCTGTGGCACTCACACGCAGCTGGCCACCTGTGCTGGGACTTGGACCTCTCTCTGCAGAGTGGGAGCATCTCATCAGAACTGCCTCGTTCTTTTCAACAGCCGCAGGGAAGCCCAGGGCCTCTTCTGACCCTGTCCCAGGGAACCAGGGGACAGGCCTGGTGTGTCCTAGTAGAGACCCTGCGCCCTCGCACTGGGAACCCTGTCCCTGGGCCCTCTGGAAGATAGAGCCTAAGACTAAGGGGGCCTCTAACTCATCTTTCTTGCTGACAGCTGCAAGGTTGAGACCCCAGGCCCTCATGCGAGCTGGCGGGGAGGGGTCTATGCCTCAGGAGCTGCCAGTCTGGCGGGGGAAGCTGACTAGGGGCATCCACAGAGGGGGTGCAGGCCATGTGTAAAGACCTAAATAAATGGAAACATACCGTGTTCATGTGTCAAAACAACATTAACCAGATGGTAGCACTCTCCCGTTTGAGGTACAGATTCAATGCAGATCCCATCAGAATCCCAACTTTCCCCCAACCAGCCCCAAAGAAATTGGCAAGCAGATAGTGAAATGCACACAAAAACACAAGGGAGCAAATTAGCCAAGACAATTCTGAAGAACAAAGTTGGAGGACTTGCACTTCATGATTTCAAAACTTGTCACGCAGCTGTGTGTACAAGACAAGAGAGCCTGGCATGGCCTAAGCATAGACATGTACTTGATGGAACAGAGCTGAGTCCAGAAATAAGTGCCCACAATTATGGTCAACTGATTTTGGACAAGAGCGCCAGACAAATCAATGGGGAAGGAACAGTCTTTTCAGCAAATTGGACAACTGGAGAGTCACATGCAAGAATCAAGTGTGCTTCTTTCCCTCCACACACACAGAAGTTAACTCAAAATGGATCAAAGACTTCAACATCAGAACTAAACCTATAAAACTTTTAGACAACAGAATGATGTGAGAAGCACGAGTGACCAATAAAAAGAAAAAAGATGAATTGGACATCACTGAAATTAAACGCTTGTGCTGCAAAGGACACCACCGACAAGGTGAAAAGCCAGAACAGGAGAAAGCATTTGCAAATCATCTCTCAGATAATAGAATGGTGCCCAAAATGTATAAAGAACTCTCAAAATACAGTAATAAAAAGATGAACGGCCAAACTAAAAATGTGTCAAGGACCTGAACAGACATTTCTCCAAGGAAGATCTACAAATGGCCAACACACACATGAAAAGATGCTCCATGTCATTAGTCACCAGAGAATTGCAAATCAAAACCACAGTGAGATCCCACCTCACACTGACTAGGAGGTGCTAGATTTTTAAAACAAGGAAAAGTATTAGTGTGATCCAGATGTGGAGAAAGTGGAACTCCCACACACTACAAGTGAGGATATAAAATGGTACAGCTAATTTGGAAAACAGTTTAGGACTTCCTCAAAATGTAAAACATGGGGCTACCATATGGTCTAGTAATCCCACTCCTGGGCAAAATCTCCTGCATCCAGGAGAAATGGAACATATTGTCCACACAGAAGCTTGTACATGCACGTCCATGACAGCGCTTGTTCCAACTGCCAAAAGGTGGCAACGATTCAAATGTCCATCAAGAGGGAAATGGATATACGAACTGTGGTCCATCCAATCAAGAATATTATTCAGCCATAAAAAGGAACCAAGAGCTGATACAAGTTACAACATGAACACTAGAAACAGCATGTTGAAATCACAATACAGGTAGGTCACGGGATGGTAGAACAGTGAGAATACAGGTAAGGACTCCGGAGCATCTTAGTACATTGATGGACAGTGAGGGCACTGGAGGGGGTGAGGACTTGATGATATGGGCAAACGTTGAACCATTGTGTTGTATATTTGAAACCAACATAAGATTATTTATCAATGATACTTTAAAAAAATCATGCTAAGTGAAAAGAAGAAAAAAATATACAGTGAATGATTCCATTTATATGAAATGTCCAGAAGACGATGCAGAAACCCAAGGCAGACCAGTGGTTATTAGGGGCTGGGGGAAGGGGAGAGGGGAGTGACAATTAATGGGGATGGAGTTTTTGGGGTGATGGAGATGTAAATTTAGACCATGGGAATGGTTGAACTGTGAATAGTCTAAATATCAGCGATTTGTACACATGAAATGCATGCATTGTAAGGCATGGTATGTGAATCTCAATAAATGTTAAAGACACAAGAAAAACAGAAAAGGGCCACTGGCTGCTGCACAGAAGGGAGTGCGGAGAGGAGAGCTGGATGTGACAAGTTTGGATTAAAGGAGACTGAGCCAGTTTTGCAAGTTCCAGGATGCTGGTGGTGAGCGATTCAGGCAAAGAAAAGGGGAATGGGTGCCAGGCAGGTGACCACCCACAGAGCCTTGGACAGGAGCAGGGGAGGGCAGAGCTGATGGGGAGAGGGCCTCTGGGGGCCATGGCACAAAAGCAAGGCTGGAAGAGGGCTGGGGAGGACAGATGACCAGGGCACTGTGCAGGACGGAGGGCAGGACCTTTGCACTTACTGTTTCCTGCACCTGAGGAGCTCTTCAGAGAAGTCCTTCCAGCCTACCCTAAGCAGGCCCTGGCTATCCCTGGCTCTGTCAAGGCGGGAAATGTGTCTCCTCAGTTAGGCTGTGAGCTTCTCTGTAGAGAGCCGAGCATCATACACTCACTCAACAAGCAGTAACTGAACGCAGGCACAAAACCAAAGACCAGAAGGGGCATCTACCTCACCCCTCGGCAGCCAGCAAAGACGGTGGGTTTGCGATGGCTATAATGCAAGTTGGTGGAAAAGGGTGTGATCAAGAGACCCGACCCTAGAGACTGGTATTTTGGACACACAGGGGGTTCTGCTGTCATGCAGGGGGAGAGAACCAGGACAAAGAGCACGTCTGTGACTTGAAAATAAAAAAAGACGCTGAACACGAGTTGTCAAGGGAGACCTGAGGGCTGAGATCCTTCTGCGGCCTGGGCTGGGTGAGGGTCACACACTGCACAGGACTACACAGTCCTCGAGCTGCATACCTGAGGGGTGCACTCGACTCCAGGGGAGAAATGTGTTTATGTCAGATAACATGTTCGCGCAGTATGATCTGGGGTGAGCTGAGTGCCCCTGTGGTGCCAGATCGGGCCTGCTGGGTAAGGCCCTTGGGGTAGATTTGTAAACAGTAGTAAAAAAGCAGCAGCAGTGTACAGAGACTACCTGGACAGCAAAGCAGCAAAGCATAAAGCATTTAACTGGCCCTTTACAGAAAAAATTTGCCCATCTCTGTTCTGGGATATATGGAAAAAAAGGAGAAAAAATCAGGAAGGGGTTGAGGAAGGCTTGAGTTTTAACCTTCCTATAGATTGAATTACTACTTTTGCTTTAAACCACGGCAAAAAATTCTTTTTTCTTAAATTGAAGCTTAATTTGCCTAACATATGGTAAATGTATTCACCCTTAACTTGTTTTAAATTTTATATTTCTCTTGTTAACCCTGGGTGCAGTTTGGGTTCCTTTTACTTTCTCTGTTACATTTTCCTGTGTTTAAACTCAATGACGAATCTGAAAATGCTCATCAAAACATTTGAAAAATTTAAGAACACATATTGCCGGGACATTTGGCAAGCAGGCACCAAATTTTGCTCTGGGTGGCCTTGGGGGCAGGGCGCAGCCTCTTTTGGGCCTCAGTTTCCCCCCCTTTGAAACCGAGGTGTGGCTGAGAGAGAAGGGCATGGCTTAAACTAATCTAAATTTGTTTTTGTTTTTTCTTAAGCAATTACAATTATCTGGCACGTGTCTTTCTCAGGAGGTGCTATGCAATGGAAAGGGGACTGGACAGAGTTAGGAGTTATCTGTGCCACAGTTTTTTTTTTTTGTATCATTAACATACAATTATATGAGCAATATTATGGTTACTAGACTCCCCCTATTATCAAGTCCCCACCACATACCCCATTACAGTGACTGTCTATCAGCATAGTAAGATACTATAGAATCACTACTTGTCTTCTCTGTGTTGTACTGCCTTCCCCATGCGACCCCCACCCTCCCCAGTCCCTTTCCCTTTGGTAACTATTAGTCCATTCTTAGGGTCTGTGAGTCTGATGCTGTTTTGTTCCTTCAGTTTTTGCCTTGTACTTACGCTCCACAGATGAGTGAAATTATTTGGTACGTGTCTTTCTCTGCCTGGCTTATTTTACTGACCATAAATAATAACCTCTACCTCCATCCATGTTGTTGCAAATGGTAGGATCTGTTTTCTTCTTTTTTTTGGATTTGTTTTCTTCTTATGGTTGAGTAATACTCCAATGTGTATATGTACCACATGTTCTTTATCCATTCATCTACTGATGGACACAGGCTGCTTCCATTTCTTGGCTAAACTAACCTAAATTTAAACCTCTGCAAATGGTTATAATGAGCGGGACCGAGAAGACAAGTAGGGACTCTGTTGATGGACAGTGACAGCAATGGGGTGTGTGTGGGGTACTCGATAATATGGGTGAATGTAATAACCACATTGTCTTGCTTCTGAAACCTTCGTAGAGTGTATATCAATGCTACCTTAATCAAAACAAATAAGAGTAAATAAATAGATAATAAGCGGGACCGGCCTCTCCGGCTGTTAGGTGAGGGAGGCACCGGCCTCCGCCCGCGCTCCGCACCTCGCCGTGGTCACCGCTGTTACCACGGAGGCCCCCGGGGTCTGCCCCTCCGCCCGCCGTCACACCGCGGGAGACACTGAGGCCCGCTAGCCTCCCCGGCGCCCCGCCCGACGGCCCACACCCTGACACACCCGCGCCGGGCGACACTGACCCGACAGTCCCCGACGGGGAAGATTCCGCTTGTAATCGATGGGGCCGTAGCCCCCCGGCGGGGGCATGTCCAGATTCACCTTCGCCGCCGCCATGCTCGAAGAGCCCTACGCTTCCGGCCGCGAGCGGAAGTTATGGACACGGGGGTGGACTGCCGCCATGCTGAGTGTGGCAGAAACTACAGTGCCGTCTCGTGAACCTAGCACGCTGCTGCAGCGACTCCAGGCCGCTAGCGAGTCGGGCAGCGAGGCCTGGGACTGACTGGACAGCGGAGGAGCTATTATTTCCCCTTCTTTCAGAAGGGGCGTGGCTCGGTCGGAGCGGGTCCGGCCGCCAGTGTTCTGGCCCTACGGGACCTCCTGGTCACCTTCCCTCTGGAGGATGCTCAGGGCCAGTCGGAAACCCCATGCTCTCGAGAGAGCCGTCTCCGAGTTAAGCTCCCTTTGTCATTTTCTCCCCTTTCCGGGGCTCTGCGGACAGCCCAGGGCTCCACGTGATCAGGCATGGGTACACAAAGTACGGGAGTCGGGGCGACTGGTGCTCGGATTCGGACTCGCGAAGAGCCTTCCCAGGGCCAGGCACACATTCAGCTCCCCTCGTTGGTGGCCGGGACCCCTTGCAAGTGGCCTCTCATGAGAACTGGGCCATGCAGAGCAATTGTCAGTCACGAAGCCCAAGGGTCTTGGGAGGTCATGCGGGATGACGCCCGCAGGTACTTCACAATACACAAATTGTTACCTGGGCAATAAAAAGCACCGGGCGGTGAAGACCCGGGAGTAGGCGCCCGGGGGGCATGGGGGTGCAGATGTCAAGCACCATGGGTTAGGCCTGAGATGGGAGTCAGGCCGCCTTCCGACAACAGCCGCCTCCTGCTCCCCGTGTCCCCCAGATGCCACCATGTCGGATGACAGAATTCTGAGCAAACTCGGCTACAAGTTGGGCCGCACGATAGGTGAGGGCAGGTTTTCCAAAGTTAAGGTGGCCACGTCTAAGAAATACCAGGGAACGGTGGCTATCAAGGTAGTGGACCGGCGGCGCGCGCCTCGCGACTTTGTCGACAAGTTCCTTCCGCGTGAGCTATCCATCCTTAGGAGCGTGCGGCACCCACACATCGTGCACGTCTTCGAATTCATTGAGGCGTGCAACGGGAAGCTGTACATCGTGATGGAGGCAGCCGCCACGGACCTGCTGCAAGTCGTGCAGCGCAACGGGTGCATCCCTGGAGGGCAGGCGCGCGACCTCTTCGCACAGTTGGCCGGCGCTGTGAGCTACTTGCACGATCACCAGCTGGTGCACCGCGACATCAAGTGTGAAAATGTGCTGCTGAGCTCAGACGAGCGCAACGTCAAGCTTACGGACTTTGGCTTCGGCCGCGAAACACACGGTTGCCCAGAGATGAGCACCACCTACTGCGGCTCTCTCGCCTACGCGGCACCCGAGGTACTCCTCGGCATCCCCTACGATCCCAAGAAGTACGACATGTGGAGCCTGGGCGTCGTGCTGTACGTCATGGTCACCGGATACATGGCCTTCAACGACTCGAACATCGCTAGCCTGCCCTGGCGCCAGAAGCGTGGCGTCCTCTACCCAGAAGGCCTCGAGCTGTCCGAGCGCTGCAAGGACCTAATCGCCAAGCTGCTACAATTCTACCCGTGTGCCAGGCCTTCAGCGGGCCAAGTAGCGCGCAACGCCTGGCTGCTTGAACGGACTCCGGTTAGGAGGCGGGGTTCCCGCCATCCCTGACGCCCGAGCATTGCGCACGCGCCGCGCACTCCGGACAGGTGCGCTCGCGGAGACCCACGTACATCCCGCTTGCCACCGCGCAGATGTTCTTCCCCCTTCCCTTTCCCCTCGAACCCTGGGGCCTCAGCGGCCCGAGTTAGGAATTTAGCTCCTCCTACACGATTCCGAGAGCCGGAGGGCGCGTGCGCTCCCCAGACTCCCCGCCATTGGAGACGGAACATTGCGTCTGCGCGGGGTGAGAGACGGCTGCGCAGCGGTAGGAACGTCCGCAGATGTGCGGCTGCTGCCGAGTGGCCCTTCCCGGGAGGCGTCCTTCCCGAGTCCCCAGCTCACGCTGGTACGGGACGGCGCGCTCTGGGAGGTGCCCGCCCAGGAACCTGAGCATTAAACTCCCTCTTCCTGGCACCTAGCTCTAGCGATGACCCCCTTTTACAGAGCGGGGCGGCGGTCGTCCCTGTGGGAAGGCGGGCGCGATCGCGGCGTTTTACAGGAAGGCTTGTTGAGGCTCTTAGGGTCTCGAAAGGGAGTTGAGAGGGTTCAAACCCGGGTCTTTTTGGGCTCCGTAGACAGGGCAGTCTCTTAGGAGCTTTGGCGTCGTCCCCGGGGACAGTGGAGATACTGGACTGGGTACCAAAGACCCCAGTACTGCTCCCGTGTTTAAGGATGGGACGGGGGGTTGGGTGGGGGCGCCTGTCTGAACTAAACAGCGTTTACAGACGAGGAAACAGGCCCCCACAGATGTCACTTGCCCAAGAGCACATCTGGGATTTGAACCCAGCTATGGCTGAGGTGGGGGGAAGACGTGGTGGTGAGGGTGAGTCTGTGGGCAGATGCTAGGCTGTTGTCCATACATTTATTGAACGCCAGCTGTGTGCCCAGCTCTGGAACTCAGCAGAGAGGCTTGGCTCTATCCCTGCCCCCAGCTAGGGCGCAAGCGAAAAGTCAAGTAAAGAATGGTGTGAAAATAAAACTAACTGTTAAATGCTGGGTGGGGCATGAGAAGGAGGGATTGAAGCGGACCTGTAGGCTGAACCCTGAAGGAATCAGCTGTTAGAAGGAAAGTGTTACAGTGTTCCCGAGACAGGACTGAGCTGGTGTGGCTGGGACGGAGAGGGGTGGAGAGGCGAGGACGGAGGTCTGGAGAGGGGACCTCTCCGAGCCTGAGGAGGGCTGGGGGTCGTTTTGCTGCCAAGGTTACTGGGTTTAGCGGCCGCTGCCTATCGTTTAGGTTGTGTGGGAAACGTCTCCCTAACCCCCCATCCTACTTGCGTCCATCTGAGCCCCACATGGTTCTGGAGGCTGGTCACCTGTGAGCCCACCCATACCCTGCCCCTGCCCCTTCGTCCTCCATGGCTCTCAGGTGCCAGGTCTACTCAGCTGTTTCAAATAGGCTGTGCCCTGCTTCCGTTATTTCGCCGATGAGGAAACTGAGGCTAAGATGGGAAGTGCTTCGCCTCCAATCCTGGCTTGTTCATGTCTGAACTGAGACAGAAAAGCCAGTAGCTCCCGTTTTGTCCTAGAAAGGTGCCTCTTCTGTAGCATGTCTTGGCTCCACAGCTAGAAAATGGGGGCAAGAGGCCAGCATCCTTGGGGGTGTTGGGATGCACTGTGGCTCGCTGAAGGGCTGCATCCCAAGCCTTCTCGAGGTTCCCGTGGCACTCAGAATAAAACCCGATTCCTCACCCCCTTTTCTCTGGGTTCCAGCCACATTGCCTCCCTTGCCCTCTCCCTTCCCCACTCTCACCTCAGCCTCTGCACTGGCTCTTACCATTCCCTGGACCACTGCCCATCTCCTTATTCAGGACTTGACGTAAAAAGGCATCTCCTCTCTGACACCCTTGCACTCCTTTTCCTGGTCACAAGGCACCTAACGCTGGGGCTTGGCACATGCCTCTTTCTGTGTGAGCAGTGGGGCCCCGACCTCCTCCTACCCCACGGTTGTACACCCACAGTGCAGCTGAGCAAGGTCTCAGGGGCCAGAGCAAGTGTCCCATTGTTAGCTGGAATTGCTACTTGAGATTCACCCCTGGTCTTTGGGGCCTGTGCCTGATCCAGCAAAGACTCACTTGAGGGCTGAGTGTGCAGCCCCCGAGAAAGCTCCCCACAAGCACACTTCTCACAGCCAGTGCTGGGGCATGGGGCACCAGTGAGGATGTCACAGGTAGATGGGGACAGGAGGCATGGCAGAAATTAAACCCAAACCTATGAGCTCCGTGTCTTGCTGGCCATGGCCTTTGGGGAGCATGGCCAGAAGCACAGATCCACAAAAACAGGAAACAGCAAACTAAATAAAAGCAGTTAGGAAAACAGGGCCACATTTTATGCATATTAGACTTAACCAAAGTGGTCACAGGTCTTCATGAATAAAACCTGAAACAGCGTATTAACATCGAAAACAAATTTTCACCAGGAATCATTGGTTTCAGAGTCAGCCAGGTGGCTCTGTCTGTTCTTAGAACCTGCGTCTGTAACACAATGTCCTGCGGCAGACACCCTACATGGGTACCAAGCCTGAAAAGCTCTGGAGAACCAAGCACTCGGGTGGAGGCTGGACAGGCTAGGAGCCAGCCTGACGGGCAGCCCACTCCATTCTCACCCAACTCCTTCTCTGGTGGGGAGCAGGCCAAGAAGCCACCCCCCCACACACAGAAATACCATTTGACCCACTAATTCCATTTATAGGAATTTACTTGAAGAAAGAAATCCCTGATTCAACAAGATATATGCACCTCTGTTTATCGCCACACTATAACCAACGAATCCATAACATCTTCCTTTGTTGACAGATAACTGCACTGGTGGGGGTGAGGATTTAATAATATGGGTAACTGGTGAACCACTGTGTTGTATATTTGAAACCAATATAAGATCGTATTAACAATACTTCAATGAAAAAATATGTAATACAACCTTAAAAAAAAAGCCCCAAGCAAGTTTCTTACCCTTTGCTTCCCCATTAACCAAGAGTCACCCTGCTATCTATCTTCCCACATCTCTGAACTGCCCCAAAGCTGCAAATACAGGGCAAGAAGGGCTGAGAACACGAAAGAAAAACACAGCCAACACCTCATCCATTTCTTTATTATCTTCCAGATTCTAAAACTTCCTCATGACAATGTATGGCCATTAATTCCAGCCTCTTTATTGGGATGTCTATTCTGGTTTGGTGGAGGTAGTTTTTTTTTTTTTTAACATTTATTATCAAAGATTGAGAGTCACAATACGTGACAGCCTCCCCAATCCACCCCAAAACACCCCTCCTCCCAAACACCCTGCACTAGTGTAACTGTCCATTACATTTGTTAAGGATTATAAAATTTTAGCTGTCCTTTGAAAAAAAGCTCAGTCCAAGTGTTTTAGGCAAACATATGCAGCATAAGTTGGAAACCAAGGAAAACCCCTCAGTGGAGCACCAAAGAACGTCTTCTCTGTTATTCACACCTGTGATCAGGATGCTTCATACAGAAACTCCCCATGTGTCCGTCCAGAGTGACATGTGGGACAGAAGCCCTGACACCCAGCAGGGCTGTACAGTCGCCTTTCATTCCCTCTGCTCTGGGGTGAGCTTTTGCTTCACAAAGGTGTTTGGGTACAAAAGGCCACTCGCAGGAGAAGGGCCACTCTTGGCCTTGTCAGCGATGTGGCCCCGACACCACAGTTGAGACACCGGGGACCGAGGTTGGATGCCTCCAAGGGAACACAGGTTTATCCGTGTCCACACATGCATATACACATGGCCATTCCAGGGCTGGGCCCCCACCATCAAAACAAGGGAGTGAGCGCCACAAAGCCCTGACCCCAGTCCACAGAATGGCTGACAAGTTAGTTTACAGCTGCCACTGAGGGTTCATGTCACAGATATCCTGGAGCCATTACGATTGTCACCTAGGACGGGGGTCTTCCCCGTGTCCTCACTGCTCCTGGGAACCCAGACCTTTTGGCCCTGAGCTCCCAGGGGAGGTCAGGACCTCAGCACTGGGGTCAATTCTGAGGGGTGGGCTCTGCTGCCAGGAGAACACCCTCACACTAATGTTCTTTCCTAGTGCATCCAAACCTCACACCAGGCATTTAATGCCTTTTCTATAACACAGGTTACTGCAGAAACACTACTGGGGGCCGATTCTAGAAGTTGTACTGCAAAGGGCCAACTGAAGAGAGGCAGACAGGAGTTTTCAGACAGTAGAAATGGACTAAAGATTAAGGCATCTCACAATCTTGCCCCATTAAAAAAAAAACCCTACATTTCTGTCCCAGGACATCACCCTTGGTAGGACTGTTCCCAGAGCTGCTGGGCAGGAGAGAGCAGAGCCAGTGCCGGCTGTCCCCTCCTCCACCTGTGCTGGGTTTGTAGTGAACTCACAAGGCCCAGGAAGTCCGGCCAGGTGAAGCGGACACCATATGGAGTGAGATCCAGACGGGGCCCGTGAGTCACAGAACGCATCAACCCCCTTGTCACAGCTGGTGACTTTGGCCCGGGTAGCCAATCCCGAGTTACTGCATACAAGTGAGCTCTGTTTGCTGGGGCAGGAAGTTGCCTGGGTTCCGGCCTGTGTCATTGAACAGAGATGGCTGACAGCTCAGGGTGGAATAAGACAGGTATTTAATTTGCCAGGCACACAGAAAAATGCGAGGAATAGAAATGCTTTTTTGGTGTAAAAACACACCCTTTCCCACCAGTACTGGAATATCAGTTTCCCTTCCTTTCTCTCAAATCCCTGTATCTTGGAATGAAATCTACCCTTCCCTGCCCGCCCGGTTTCTGGAAATAGGTGGGGAAAATCCCTTACCACCCTGTATTCAGATCCCATTGAAATGACGGAGAGCTCGCTGTGTGCCAGAACTTTCCTCTAAGTCTCCTGATTCCCGGACCTTCATTTGATGCCCTGATCAACTGTCTGCTTCCCTGAGAGGCCCTCCCTGACCACACCAGCTGACACAGCTCTGTCCCACACCTTCACTTTCTACCTGGCATTCATCACTGCCCAGCTTCTGGGTCTGTTCCCTTATTTGTGGTCTGTCCCCAGTCATTGGGCAGCTCCAGGAAGGCAGGGAATTCTTCTCTCTTGTTCTTTGCAGTAGTCCGTGTCAGGAATGGAGAATGGTACCTCAAAAAAGGGGAAAGAACATAAGAATTTTATGTAATTGCTCTCAAATACTTTTTTGTCAATGTCTTACATATATTCCTCTGTTATTTATGTATATATTAATGACTATATTATCTACAAATAATAATGTTACATATAATAAAATATCTAATGCACTTAGGTAAAATTGAGAAATGCATGCACATGTCTCCTACTATATATATATATATATTTTTTTTTCACTGAAATGCATATTTAGAAAAAGAAAGAAGCCCACAGATAGCACAGTGGTCATTAATGGGGAGCTGGGATTTGAACCCACAGCCCCCAAAACCTAGTCTGAGGTCTGAGTGGTGATGGGAATCCTTGGTGGGGATCCTACTTTGCAGCCAGGCATAGCAGGAGTTTATTTGGCCAGAGGATGGAGCTGAGGGGCTGTTCAAATGCAGGACCTCTCCCCAGAGGGGCTGATCCACCAGAGAGAGGCCCAGGTGTAGAATCGGGGTGATCAGGGGGATGAGGTGGCCAGTGTGTGCTGACAGGGCGCCTCGCAGGTGGTGGTAGTGGTGATGAGGTGTGTAGGAGAGCTGGTCCGAGGATATGGAGCCAGGAAGCCTTTCGCCTCCCCCTGGCCCCGCTTGGGAAAAAAATCAAATATGGGCAAAAAGCCCCCTGCTCTGGGAAAGCAGAGAGGCCCACTGTACTCCGTCACGCTGGCCTCACTTGAATAATGCTTTCATTCTTCCAGGAAATAGTGGAAAACCCAGAATTCATTCTTGGAGGGGTGACCAGGACTGACATCTGTCAGGGGGAGCTTGGTAAGTGTAGGGGATAGAGTCTGGAGTGACCACTGCCTGGGGCCAGCAGGCCAGGACCTCTGAGCTGTCCCCACAGCAAGAGTAGCCAGGGTCCCTAGAAACCCATGGGCACAGGGTTGGAGGACATCATTGCCACCACCCTCTGCTTTGTGGCCTGCCAGGCTGCTCCCGTGGAGCCTGGTGGACCCCAGGCCCGGTGCTCTTGTTCCCCTGGGGTGGGTGTTCCTGCAGTCCCGGCTCATAGCCCAGGAGTTCACATAGAACGGAGAGCCCAGCGGCCCTGGACCAGGTCTCCTACACACCTCATCACCACTACCACCACCACCGAGGCGCCCTGTCAGCACCCACTGGCCACCTCATCCCCCCTGCTGATAACTCCAGTTCTACACAGGAGAGACTGAAGCAGAGGGAGGAGAAGGAACTTAAGCAAAGTTGTAGGAGCGATTGATGGGCAGCCATGGTCTGAACTTGTTTGTACCACTGTGTTACACTGCCTCTCAGGGCTCACCTGGGGGGGCCCCTCCCGGAACAACCCCATCTCCTTCCTGCAACTGACCTGTGAATGTCCCCAAGCCAGTTAAACTGGGTCCTGCATTTCAGGATTTATTCCCAAATTGGGCTGGGTTTACCTTTATTCTACCCATGAAAAAAATAAAAGAAAAGAGAGAACACCTTAAAAAAAATACCAGTGGAGAAAACTGCTACAAGCCTGGGAGACCCCAGCAGGCACAGCTGAGGTCACAGCTGTGGTCTGCAGGCTCGTGGGGCCACACTGGGGCCTCCACACTGCACAAGGGGCTGCCCGAAACAGAGCACCTGAAAGTCAAATCTCAGAGTGATGAGAGTGGAGAGACGATAGATGATTAGACAGATAGATAGATAAGACAGATGATGATGCATACGTGGGTGACAGAATTATACACTCCAGATATACCTGACTTTTCAAAAATAATACATCAGACTGGTCTTCAGTTTCGGAAACTAAGCCTCCCTTAGGAGACTGTCCTTTCCCCTTCATACATCTTCCCTCTTTCTCCACCCCACAATTCCTCTGCCTCCCATAACGCCCCACCCTTATCCCTACACTGCTTTTCAACAGAAGATCATTATACTGGCTGTTTTGTTCTTCTAAATGTTGACTTGCCACATTGATGTAAAGATGTATTTGGAATGATGGCCTCATATTTAACCTTAGTTGGTGCTTGATTGTAAATATTATTTTGTGACACCCAAATACTATGCATATGTATACCTCATGGAGGACACTGTGAACCTGCTGCCTGAAATGAGAACCAGAGCATAGCCAACACCATGGCCTGCCCTGCCCCACTCTCGGCTCCCTATGTGCTCCAGTCCATCCAGCTGGTCACCATGCTGACCTCCAGTCACTATCTCCTGACCTGAGCCAGTGCTGGGGTGGCCAATCCCACCCATTGGCACAGGCCGAACAGAGATCAGGCAATCTTGTTTGCTTAAAGTGGCTTCAAACATTGGCTTTAAACATTGGCTCCCACATCTCCCCCTTCAAAAGCTCAGGGTTCTACACCCAAACGCAGCAGGATACACATTGTTCGCAAGTGCACATGGAACATTTTCCAGAATAGACCACATACTAGGACACAAAAAGAGCCTCAGTAAATTCAAAAAGACTGAAATTCTACCAACCAACTTCTCCAACCACAAAGGTATAAAACTAGAAATAAATTGTACAAAGAAAACAAAAAGGCTCACAAACACATGGACGCTTAACAACATGCTCCTAATTAATCAGTGGATCAATGATCAAATCAAAACAGAGATCGAGCAATACGTGGAGACAAATGACAACAAGAGCACAAAGCCCCAACTTCTGTGCGCGGCGAAGGCAGTTCTAAGAGGAAAGTATAAAGCAATCCAGGCCTCTTTAAAGAAGGAAGAACAATCCCAAATGAATAGTCTAAAGTCACAATTACTGAAACTGGAAAAAGAAGAACAAATGAGGCCCAAAGTCAGCAGAAGGAGGGACATAATAAAGATCAGAGAAGAAATAAATAAAATTGAGAAGGATAAAACAATAGAAAAAATCAATGAAACCAAGACCTAGTTCTTTGAGAAAATAAAACAGATAAACCCCTAGCCAGACTTATTAAGAGAAAAAGAGAATCAACACACATCAACAGAATCAGAAATGGGAAAGGAAAAATCACGATGACCCCACAGAAATACAAAGAATTATTAGAGAATACTATGAAAATCTATATGCTAACAAGCTGGAAAACCTAGAAGAAATGGACAACTTCCTAGAAAAATACAACCTTCCAAGGCTGAGCAAGGAAGAAACAGAAAATCTAAACAGACCAATTACCAGCAATGAAATTGAATTGGTAATCAAAAACTACCCAAGAACAAAACCCCCGGGCCAGAGGGATTCACTGCTGAATTTTATCAGACATAGAGAAGACATAATACCCATTCTCCTTAACCATTTCCAAAATATCTTCCAAACTCATTCTATGAAGCCAGCATCACTCTAATCCCCAAACCAGGCAGAGACCCCACCAAAAAAGAAAATTACACATCAATATCCCTGATGAACATAGATGCAAAAATACTCAACAAAATCTTAGCAAACCAAATTTAAAAATACATCAAGAGAATCATACACCATGATCGAGTGGGATTCATCCCAGGGATGCAGGGATGATACAACATTCGAAAATCCATCAACATCATCCACCACATCAACAAAAAGAAAGACAAAAACCACATGATCATCTCCATGGATTTTGAAAAAGCATTCGACAAGATTCAACATCTATTCATGATAAAAACTCTCAACAAAATGGGTATAAGAGGGCATGTACCTCAACATAATAAAAGCCATATATGATAAACCCACAGCCAACATCATACTTAACAGCAAGAAGCTGAAAGCTTTTCCTCTTTTAAGATCGGGAACAAGACAGAGATGCCCACTCTCCCCAATGCTATTCAACATAGTACTGGAGGTCCTAGCCATGGCAATCAGACAACACAAAGAAATACAAGGCATCCAGATTGGTAAAGAACAATCAAACCATCACTACTTGCAGATGACATGATATTGTACATAAAAAACCCTAAAGACTCCACTCTAAAACTACTAGAACTAATATCTGAATTCAGCAAAGTTGCAGGATACAAAATGAACACACAGAAATCTGTTGCTTACCTATTCACTACTGATGAGCTAGCAGAAAGAGAAATCAAGAAAACAATCCCATTCACAATTGCATCAAAAAGAATAAAATACCTAGGAATAAGCCTAACCAAGGAAGTGAAAGACCTAAACCCTGAAAACTACAAGATACTCTTCGGAAAAATTAAAGGGGACATTAACAAATGAAAACTCATCCCATGCTCTTGCCTAGGAAGAATTAATATTGTCAAAATGGCAATGCTGCCTGAAGCAATCTACAGATTCAATGCAATCCCTATCAAAATACCAACAGCATTCTTCAACAAACTGGAACAAATAGTTCTAAAATTCATATGGAACCACAAAAGACCCCAAATAGCAAAAGCAATCCTGAGAAGGAAGAATAAAGCAGGAGGGATCCTGCTTCCCAACTTTAAGCTCTACTACAAAGCTGCAGTAATCAAGACAATTTGGTACTGGCACAAGAACAGACCGACAGACCAGTGGAACAGAATAGAGGGTACAGATATTAACCCAAACATATATGGTCAATTAATATACAATAAGGAGCCATGGACATACAATGGGGGAAATGACAGCCTCTTCAACAGCTGGTGTTGGCATAACTGGACAGCTACATGTAAGAGAATGAAACTGGATCGTTGTCTAACCCCATACACAGAAGTAAATTTGAAATGGATCAAAGACCTGAGTGTAAGTCATGAAACCATAAAACTCTTAGAAAAAAGTATAGGTAAAATTCTCTTGGACATTGTCTAGCTCGGATTAGCACATAGTCTACAGGCACACACATGATCATCTACAATTGCTCTCTTTCAACACTAAACTATGTTTTCTACCTTTATCTTGCATCTACCTACCACTTCAGCATTTTA